GGTTCCAGTACAACAGTTACTGCTACACCCTGCAATCCTGATCAACATACTCTTTCCAGGATCAGAGGGATGCTTCTCAATGCCAGTCAGAGGAGCAGTGCTTTTTTTGTAAAAAAAAAAAAAAAAAAGTGCCAGAACTTACCTCTTGGGGGTCACACTTTTACACTAAAAAAGATTTTCAATTCACCAACTTTTTTTGAAATAAAGAACTTATTTACCTTTTGCACATAGCCAGTCACTCTACACACACATAAACATAATGGTCGCCGCTGGCAGTAAGCACTCAGCGCGCGACCACACGACCGATCCCAAGCTGAGCAGCGTCCCGAGCCGAGCAGCGCCCTCACAAGCAGCACGGACACACAAGCAGCCCGCAGGCACTATTTTAATGCTTTCTGTTGCTGACCTGCTACGCTCGACAGGGCGATTCACAATCACATGGAAAAATCCGTCAAAAAAAGGTGCCAGAATGCCGTTCCGGTGCGTTCTATGACAAAAAAAAGCCCTGCATAGGAGAATCATTGCACTCAGTCCAATATGGTAACTGCTGAATTGGGAGCCAGTGAATCCACAGTTGAAGCTGGGTTCTCCCCACCCAAAGACAAAAACAAAACGGCACTACAGTACAGTAGTTATAAAGCTATTGTATTGCAAAGAGCCACCTTTGTATGGATATGCCTAGTCTTTTTGGTTTTATAGTAAGCCTTTGCCAATTTAATCCTAAAAATCTCTGCTGGTGTACTTAACTGGCATAACCACTTTATTCTGGCATAAAACATGCACATTAGTATCTTCTAGTTCATGAGGTTTAGCAAATATTTTCACAAAATTAACTGACAGTTGTAACAGGCTCTCTCCTTTTATGAATCTGGACTTCAGCATCTGTTCCCAAGTCTCCTCTTTCTATTAGTTCTGTATGGACCAGCTGAGACTTCAGTACAATGGAGAAAACCATAAACTCTAAGCATTAGTAAGGTTAATTAAAGTTACTGACCTTGGAAACCGTCCCTATTTGGAAAGGCCCTTCAAAATGTAATGGCATCTGATCCATTTTCAGAGCATGATTTAAAATTATGGTAGATAAATCCATGGCAAATACTAAAATCTGTTCCCAACATGGTAGGTCTTTGGAACAAGTACACTAGCTTTGTTCAAATTGCTTCTAAAGTATATTCTAAAATTAATTCGATCAGTATTTTTTCTATAAAAAGGCGTTAAATCAACCAACATGAAATTGTACTGGAAATGTTTGCTTTCCTTTTGTGCTATCACTCGTCCCATGTAACATGCCGTACACATTTGAAGATGCTAATAATCAATTAATTAATAAGCAGCAAACTCCACAGAGACATTTTTCCCCAAATAGCACCATAGGAATTAATGCACACTTATTGAGGACTCTGATGGTAATAAATGTTGTAATTTAATCATGCACTCTATGAAGAAGTATTTCCTTTCCACTGTCCTGAATCTCCCACAGCTCAGCTTTGTGGAATGACCCCAGGTCAAATAATATGAGAAAGGAAGAAAAGCAGCACCCCATCCATTCATTCCATGCCATACATATTATAAACTTCTATCAAGCCCCTTCTTGTGCGCTTATTTGAACTAAAAAGCGCCCAGTGTTGCCATGTGGAAGCAGCAGTCCACAAGCAGTGTCTTGTCCAGGGGTTCCACATGCACCTGGAAGCAATTGCTTGGAGTTCCAACTATATGTATTAAAGTTGGTTTCCTTTCCTTTGGTTTTGGGGATTCAATTGATCTTGGGGGAACATGGATCTAAAAAACCAAAGCAAAGAGGAGTGAAGTGATTCCGAGTAGAGCCTAAAATAATTTAAGGGAAGGAATTTGCAATTCCTCCTTCTTCCTGGGTTTTGGAAACTGGTTCCCATCCCCCATCCCTTTGGCAAGTCAACCCTTCCCCACCACGAGCCCATTTTTAAAGCCAGCATCTTTGGTAACACAGCACTAGTGGAAGCCTGGCCCCCATCGCTCTTCTTCCTTCCCAGAGTGCCTGTGGAAAGGACAAGGGTGCTGGCATGTCCTGAAAAGGAGGAGCAGCAGCAGCAACCAGAAGACTGCGGCAGCCTTCACACCACTGCAGCCTCCTGCAACACCAGCAGCTTAAAGAAATGGAAAAGAAAAGATGTTTCGAAGAAAAGATGGAGGGGAGGGGACGGGAGGGGAGATAAGCCCCTGTTGTAATTGTGAGCCTCTTTTCCCTGTGAAACCAGTTTGAGGGCCACATCAGAACTCTTAACATGGAATGCAAATGGTGCAATAAATCTTTGTATCTGAAAGCAAGAACTGAAGCCCTCTCTCTTTTAGAACGGAGCACCTCCTAAATTCTCCATAACAGCAATGGTTTGCAGAGGATATGTGTGGGAAGTCAATGGGAAAGACACACAGGGACACACATTTCCCTTTTTTGAGCTTGCTTTTGACTTCGGGCCCCACCTCCCATCTCCCCACCCCCACCAAGTCCAGCCATGCCCACTGGTGGCATGTGGCTCTGAACAGTTTGCCATGAGGAAATGTGCAGTGGCCCTTCAATTGCAGGGGGAAAGATTGCCCTTGCCCCTCCTGCTTTCTATCCCAGGCTACCAATAACATCTTAGATGGTGTGCCATGTGGACTGTCCCATGCTGTAGCTTGATTGTAGCACTGTGGTACCTCTCCACATCGTAGCCCCCATCCACACCTTGAAATGTTCTCCCCACTGCCATGATGGCATGGGCAATTCCCCGCTAGGCACTGACTTTCAGGGAGCTTCAAAGAGGTGCAGTGCGTGTCTTTCTACTAGCCTTTTGGGTAAATTATTGATGCAAAATGATGCAAAAGAAAAAAGACCTGTTGTGGCAATGAATTTCATATAAGGATTACACCTGACACCCAAGTGTTACTTGCTTTTTTATTTTTTTGAGAAGGACTGCAGAGGTTTGCTCACTGTCAAAAAAGCAGCATGGGTACCTGAGCATAAATGTCTCCATTTATACTTGGATTTATGATACTTCGAATTTTCAAAAGATATATAATTGTTTTGGGGCAGAGTTGGCAAGGAAGCTATGAATTGCTCTGCGACTCCTTTATGACATTTCTGCATAATCCTGTCCTCTCGTTGCATCTGCTGTTTTTCTAACATTACTCTTGATAATTTCCTCCATCACTTAGCTCCTCATCCTTCTTTGCAGCAGCTGTCCAGTACTAATGACTTCCCTTATTAGGAATCTTCTGTATTAACATGTAAAGCCCAGAATACCAAACAATTTGACATTTTTGTATTTCTGCAGAGCACTTGGGTACGGAATGGTATTGGTGGTACCCGATGAAGTAACTTCTGAGCATCATTCACTTAGGGTAGATTAAATGAAGAACTGGCAGTGTATTTTTGTTATCTTAATAAGGGTATCAAATTTGCCTTCCCTAACCTAGTGCCTTGCAGATATTTTGGGCTACAATTCCCAGCCTTTCTGGCCATTGGCCTTGCTGGCTGGGGTGGATGGGAGCGGAAGCCCAACACAGCTGGAGGACATCAGGTTAGGCAGTCCTGCTTTAGAGGAATAAGTTTTAAGTGTATGATTAAGAGGAACTCAGAAGAGTGTACTTTTCTATTAACTCACTAACTTTCTGATATATTTGTATAATTCACAAGAAGGCATTCAAGACAGGCAATGCCTGCAAAGTAACCCATTGCTATAATATGAAATCCAATAAGCAAGGAATCACTGATACCATGAAGAACAGAAAACTCAAAAAGTTTTGAGTTTGAGCCATCATGGTTGCTTTCCATCAGTGTCTATCCACAAGCAGAATGGACACTGCTGGCAGATTGAATCCCCGCAAAAGCACACAAGCTCATTGTGCACCCCCACTTATATTTATTTATTTACTTATTTATGTATTAGATTTATATCTCACTTTTTCCTTACAACGAACTCAAAGTGGCTTACATCATTCTCCTTCCCCCCTCAATCTTACCCCCACAACAACAACTCTGTTAGGTAGGTTGGGCTGAGAGTCTGTGACTGGGCCGAAATAACTCAGTTGGCTCCATGGCTGAGTGGGAACTCGAACCCAGATCGCCTGAGTCCCAGTCCCATGCTTTCACCACTACATATCTTAGCTAGAGTGTTGGGAGATCCCCCAAAGCAGATCTGGAAGGGGTTTATTTCAATTTTGAAGAGGAGAAAGGAAACTCTTGCTGAATTTAAAGCATTTATGGGGCTCAGGGGTGTTGTATTGATTTGGCATTCACAGTAAATATTGTACCATAGAGAAGACATCTGCTATAACATTTACTTAGCTTTTCCCTTTTGGGATACTTTTTGGTGAAAAGTATGCATTTTAATTATGTCTCTGACCCTAATGATATGTTCTGCCCATTATTTTATGTGTGCCCCCTTTCAGACATTATAAATTCAGTTGCTTCTAAATTGTACATCTTTTCTAAAATACTGTTTTATATTTGTTGTGCATGTGCTCAACCTTTTCCCGACCCTACGGAATAGCCACTGCATGTCTGTTTTCCGAGGTGCTTTGTTCCCCCATCTCCCTGTGGCACAAAACTGGCTCCAAGCAGGTTTTTAAATGTATGAGAGTAGTTGCTATTTAGGATAGTGTATTTATTTTCTAGTTTCTGAAAGTGCCTGATTTATAATTAAGTTGTGGATAAACAGCTAGCATAAAGCTTGCGACCATGTTGTATCCATTTCTGGGTGACATTAAAGGAAAGACAGACAGATGTAAAAGCTTTGTGTGGGATTTTGCACCTGAGTGAATTTTAATCACCATGGATTTTATCAGATACTGGGAACCAGGCAATATCCGTAATAGAACTGGAGTATGTTTAAACTGTATTATGCTGAGAGAATACTCATGGGGGAAGAAAATCAATTACAACCCAGAATTTCAATACGTTCTGAATGAGCTGCTTGCAAAATGAGACAAACAAAATGTTTTGCACTCATCTGCCTTCTTCAATTTAATTGTTTTCTTAACAGGAAGTACAGCGTTGTACATCTGACATGAGCATCACTGCTGAACATTCCAATCACCCTGACAACAAGCACAAAAACAGATACATCAACATTTTAGCATGTGAGTAATAAAGACCATAAGAAAACCTGTTAACAACAGCAAAAACTGCTGTGCTAAGAATGCAAGTGTCCTCAGCACGAGGTTAGTCAAAGCAACAAAAATTAATTTCATCAAAGGGACAAAATGTCCTTCTGTTGAAATTGCAGACTTTCTGAGAGGGATAATGTTGTCGACAGCTTGATATGAGATTCTTGTGGATTTTGGTTAGAAAAAGCATCCCTCGCCTAAACATTTCACAATGGAATGCTGTGGATGAAATTTCTGTCTCACCTAATTCTGAAACTGACTTAAGGGCAGGCATTATGAAGCAAAAGCTGACATTCATCATTGCTAATGGATGCAATGGAACATTCTCTTTTTCTCCTCCCTGTTGCAGCCCTTACGTGTCTCCAGAAGTGGAGGGTACAGAGGCTGCAGGATGGAAAGATTCACTCCTGCCCCTGTCCTGCTGATATTGGCAGGAGACCACAGATGCGAATTCATCCAATTTGCTTAATTGGCAGCTCTTAGGATTCTGTTGCTTCCCAAAGTGCCTATTCACATTTTCAGGTGCTCCAAGAAAATCCACAATAAGCCGCAGTAGCTGTGTTGGCCATTATAAACTTGAAAACAAAGAAAGAAACCCAAGTCCTTATTAGTGTGATACTTCTATTAAGCCAATGAAAAGGTCACCAGAAATGTATAGTTTTTAATATCTGCAGATCTCTTTACTGAGCAAGTCTCCTCCACATTCCATATTGTGATCCTGATCATGCAGTTACCAAGACTGCACAACCGAGTCAGCATTTTTTCTGACCTGATGGAAAGATTGGGAGATCTCAAAATCTCCAACACTTTTGGTGACCTTTTCATTAACCTGTCAGGTTATGCAGTGGCCTATAAATTTATAAAGAAATAAATGGACGAACAGGAAGTTATCAAGAGGCACTAGTTATTTTTTCTGAACTTTTTTGTACAAGAAATTATTTCACTGCAGTAGTTTCTGATATGGAACAGATAAACTGGTGGCTTTAGTTTGCATATTAATTTCCAGTTAGTGTCATATAGGTAGTGAATCATACCCAAAAATATTCACAGATTGTATCCATTTTAATTCCCTAACATGTTGTGTTCGTTTCCCTTTTCTGCAGATGATCACAGTAGAGTGAAGTTAAGACCTTTACCAGGAAAAGACTCGAAGCACAGCGACTACATTAATGCCAATTATGTTGATGTAAGGTTTTTTTGGTTTTTTTTGCTTTCTCGCTTCTTTTGAGAAAGAACAGTGTTACAGAAGAAACAGAAACCATTATTGCTTATATACTTCTTTCGTATACTAACTTCAACCCCTAATTCCTCAAATGTTCAGCAGGAAAGGCATCTGTTTCTTAATGTATACATTATTAATATGCCCGCCATGCAGATACTTTCATCTTGCTTTGCATTGTGGTTTTCTTTGAAGGGTTACAACAAAGCAAAAGCCTACATTGCCACCCAGGGGCCTTTAAAGTCGACATTTGAAGATTTTTGGAGAATGATTTGGGAGCAAAACACTGGAATTATCGTCATGATTACAAACCTTGTGGAAAAAGGAAGAGTAAGGGCAATACAGCTTTTCAATACCTACTTTTCTCATTTCTCACCCTGAATGTGCAGCTTTTTCTTCAAATACGTTAAAGGCTGGTATCTGTTCCATTAATTATAATATAATACAAACTGGTATTTACAAGTATATACTTCCATTATTACTAGAACCATTCTATAAAATCTATGCTCAGAGAAGCTTACCATAGCTATGGGAAAAGCAACACTTACTGAACATCCATAATCATAACAGTTTGATAGTAGCAATAATAAAAGTATAAATATCATTATCAAAAATTAATTAGACTAGCAATAGCAGATTTATACAAGACAGTATAATAGGCCATAAATACCATGAGCATAACTTTTCATAAATAAAAATCTGACTTTAATACACACAGTACACAATCCTAACTAAAGCAACATTTCTATAAATGTATATTGAATGCCTACATCCCCTAGTTGTGGTTAAACATTTACACATTCTTTGTAAACTTATTCCTACTAGACCCAACACAAAACACCACCAAAAGATACATAAAGGCCACACAGAGCAATAAGAGGTTTTAAAAAATCCCAAAGCAGTCCAGAAAATTTAGCCAGAGTCTGAACACTCTAAGCCAGGCTCATCCTTGCAACAGGTTGATCAAGGGGTTCACACCTGTTCTCAAATCATCAGCAATAAGAAAAGGATACCAGGTAATTTGAGTGTCTCCCAAGAACCCTCACACCACGTTTGCCCTTTCACCCTAGGGAGGTTAGGCCCTTACCAGTACCTCTTTTTAAGAGACAATCCAACAGTGAGATGTCTTTTAGAGTTGCCTCTTTGAAGGCAACCCACCACCTTCAGCACATTCTGAAGGAACTACTTCCAGCCCAGTAAGGACTGGAAAGCACCAAGTAAGACATTTTTGCTGGCAGGGCTTCCCATGAGGGCTCCTGGCAGACTCTGGCTCCACTGTACTCTCTCACTCATTGAACAAAAAATACCTGAGAGATGAAAGAAAATAGAAGAAAAGAATGGGCTGAGAGGAAAGATAGATGGGGTAGTAAGAAGGGCTGAATATCATGTTGATTTGAAATAACCCGCTAGATCTCGGATGGTAGCCTCCTAGTTGTTAATCCCATGTTTTCTAGCGTGCTTCAAAATCTAGTACCTTATGCTACCCTTCCTTTCCTCAGAGAAAATGTGACCAGTACTGGCCAACAGAAAACAGCGAAGAATATGGCCATATCATCGTTACATTGAAGAGCACAAAAGTACACGCTTGCTATACGGTCCGCCGCTTCACAGTCCGGAATGCGAAAATGAAAAAGGTGAGGAAAGTCATTGCAATGTGGTTTAGGCAAAAAATGTCCCTCAGGGATGTTGCTGTCAAGTGTGGTATACACTAATCAGCTGTCCACTAGATCAGCCTCCCCTAACCTGTTGTCCTCCAGATGTTTTGGACCCCCTTTCCGATCAGTCCCGGCCAACCAACCCACTGGTCCTGGAAGTTGTTACCTGAAACATCTGAAGGGCAGCAGGTTGGGGAAGGCTGCACTGAATCGTTGACAAAATGTATGCTTCAGTATTGTTTGGCATACAGCAAAGGTGCCTGACATATACAGAGGAAATGTGTCTGCACATTTCAAGAACTTGAAAAGGTTAAAGAAACTAGAAATGTTACAGAGCAATCCAGTGTATGTTTAGACAGCTGGCTGGGGAATGCTGGGGTTGTAGGACTTTCTTCATTTGAAACATGCACGGGGCGCACCCTTAACACATCGATTGTCTGTCCGCCCATTCAAAGCTGGGAATGATGGAAGGGCAATAGATGGAACTTTGTACATTTCCTCCATCACTGGGCTTCTCAAGCCTGGCTCCGGTGAATCGCCAGAAATCAGAATGTTGGTCTGAACTTGGCTGTTCTTGCCTTAGACACAAGAGATAATCAGATGAAACACAATGGCAAGGGTTAGGACTATGTGTATTGTCAAGATGCTTTGCTGAGCACTAAATGAAGAATACACAATAAATAAATAGAGGTTATGCAAGGGATGAGAAACCTGTGGACATCCAAATGGCAATAAGCTCAAAATCCCATCATCCTCACCCAGCACAGCCAGTTTTGGGAATGCTGGGAGTTGTAGCCGAACAATATCTGAGGCCCACCCATGCTTTAAAGCAAGCAAATTCAATCAGGAGAAACTGTGAAGTACCCTTAGGTCTCCTGCAAGGCCATGGCACAAGGGCTGTCGCATACTGAGAGCCATGGGGTGATCTCACAGGATGAAGCAGCCTGGCCTGCAAGCATCCAGGTCATGACTACTTGTCCAAGTTGGTATTGGTCATCTGAACCCAAGACTTTGAGCTATGCAAGGGCTAAACTACCCTTACATAACCTTAAAAGGAGACATGAGTGCTATGGGGGTTGTTTAACCCTCACAAAACCCACCATTTCCATGTTGGATGACATAATAAGCCATGGCCATGACTTGGATATTCAGAATGGCCTCTCAGGGTGCCATGGTTTGTTGTGACTTAAAACACCCACAAGAAGCCCCAGTGATCAAGTGTATCTAGTCTCAGTGTTCACAAAAGAGCACCTAGCAGAAATTGCCTCTTAAAAGGAATTGAGGGAGAATCCAAGAGCGTTAGACAGGCAAACTAGTTTCCCCCCAATATAGAGCGCAAGTCAGTTTTGAAAAGATGCAATAACATGGCTTGTTGTTGTTACTTTGCATTTATATCCCACCATTTTTCATCCTGTGAAGAACCCAAGACGGCTTACATAGTTCCATTTTATCCTCACAACAACCTTGTGTGGTAGGTTAAGCTGAGAGTGAGAGACTGGCCAAGTGTTGCCCAGTGAGCTTCATGGACAGATGGAAACTAGAACCTGGGTCTTCCCAGTGCAAACACTCTAAAAATTCGATATACCTTTTCAAGTAGAATCCCTCTTGTCCTGGGTTTCTCTACTTCTGCAATTTTCAGAAGGAGATTAAATGAATAATAATAAAGGCAGGAATGCAGATAACTTGGAGTACCAGGCAACTTTGACATGTTAAACTGCCAACTCTTAGATGAAAGAGGAGCCTTTTTCCTTTAATATTATATTTATGTATTAATATTATATTTAATATTTATTCTACCAATAAATATTTTCTGATTGTATTGTTCCAAGGATGAGAGAAACTACACCAGGGAAACCTCCTTTTGACACTGAATCATTAAATGCAAGATTACAAGAGCTTTGTCTCTGTCATGGGACGATATCCCAGCTGGTAAATTGGGGCTGGGGTGCTCAGACATTTACATATACAAAATGTACAGAAGCAGGTATTTGAAAAAATAATGTTGCTTCTAGAATGAGACAGTTGCTTTGCATATGCAGTTTCCAACTGTGTTACGGAGAAAACACACTCTCAGCAATTTGGCGTAGGATGTAGAGCAGAGATGGTGAAACCAGTGCCTTCCAGATATCATGGTGCTCCAGTTTCCGTCCACCCTTGGCAGCAGGGATCCAGAGATGCACAGGATTCACCCTGTTGAGGTAGAGGAATAGATCTCCTGGGGACCAGTCGCTCTGTTGGTGCCTTTGCTGGGGGGCCATGGATCTGCTCCTGAAGAGCCATGGACCCACACTGTGATGCGTCACGGCACAGCATCTCTGGGGTCTTGAAGACAGACTCTGCTGTCAAGAACGCCCAATCCTTGCCCCCCAGCAACTGGGCATTTGCGGAGCGAGCTTAAGATTATTGCCATTTTTATAGCTAGTCAAAAGAAGGACAGATATTGTGCAAGGAGCATCTCATGCTTAGAAAAGGCATGGTCCTATCCTTATCTAATGTGTTTTCTCACCACACATGTGTTGTCCATTCTGGATCCAAAGGGGAATCCTAAAGGACGTCAGAATGAAAGGACAGTCATACAGTACCACTACACACAGTGGCCTGACATGGGCGTGCCAGAATATGCACTGCCAGTGCTGACTTTTGTGAGAAGATCCTCTGCAGCCAGGACTAGCGAGACGGGTCCAGTGGTTGTGCACTGCAGGTACGTCTGCACAGGATCAACCCCATTTTGTGTGCATCGTGTTGTAGGTCACCTCTTGTTACTTTACCATCTCTCTGTATTTAGATCTCCTTCTGCATTGTGTGCATTACAATAGATCTCATTCATCCTATTCTTGTTCCATGGCATTGTCCACACACGCACTTTGGAGTGCAAGTTTTCACGTGGACATAAAAGGACGTTTGCCTGTGGCAGGGTGTACAAACAGCAAATGTATACACAGTGTTTTTATTTGAATGGGGACTAGTAAGTGAGGAACTGAGCTCAAGCACAGTTAACTGGGGGAACTTAGCTCACACATTCACTGGATTCAAAAACGAAGCAGGATCTAATTTTACAAAGATTATTCTCAGCTCTATGCACAAGTATTACTGAGAAGAAAAATGGCTTGCTTTGTATGCACAATGCTCCAGCACATAAAGCCATATGCTCATTCTTAATAGGCTTAACTAATAGGTAGAAAAGACACAGATCTGGGAAATTTGCATTTGCCAAGTATGAAATGGCGGTGGTGCTCAGGAAATGGCAGAGAGGAAGGTTGGAGGCCTTCACATCCAGGAAAGTCTGGGGAAATAGTGGACTGTGGGGGCGGAAAGGGATAGATTGAGGGGAGAGGGGAAAAGAAATTAATCATGACCTGATGTAGAGGAAAAAGAACTTGACAACCGCACTTCTGGCTTGACTTGCAAAAATGTTAAACATGCAGACCACCCTTGCTTGTCTCGGTTATAGTACCAATTTATAATAGATGGGGTGTTAGCTGCTTAGCATTTGGGTACCTTTGAGAACAGTGTTGTCCAGGAATAGTCATAGAATACCCTTTAATAGTGATAACAGGTTGGCATGATACAGATGGAGAGATTAAATGGAGGCTAAGTTGTTGTTAAGGACCCTGAGGCTGCAACCCATTTGAGAAATGTCTGTTTACATAGAGAGTCTTGCCAAGACAGCACCTCCTGAATCTTTCTCAGTTAGATCAGAGGTTTAGCACTTATCCAGGGTTATGTGGTAGCCGTTTCTGTACACTTTAAGCTCACTGCCAGACCACCAAAGCCAGCAACATGGCCTTCAGCGTTCAGTGGGGACAGCAGCAGGACGTGGAGCACAAGCCTGCGCAAAACCGAGCTGCAAGTTACAGAGCTGGTGGAGAGATTTGTGCTACATGCGGACCTGGGCTCAGACTCAGCGAGTAGAGTTTGCTAAAGAGTAAGATGTTCTGTTTCTGGGTGGGCAACATACTGTAAATAGATCTTGCTGAACCTGTTTTGCTCTGAAACAGCAGCATAACTGACTCCTAGCTCAGAACTCTGGGCTAAGCACCAGGATAGAAGAGGGAGCTGGAGAAGGCTGTGAGGGGTGATCGATGTAACACTCCTAATGGTGGATGTCCAGACAAGAAGGAGGAGGACCATTCTCACTCACAGGCTGTTGTGGCATTTTGCATTGATTACTCCCAGGCTAGGCCCGGGCTGTGTCAAAGCAGAGAGGGCCTATCATTGCTTCTTACCAGTCATAGAAGGGGCAGTAGAAGGTAGAAGGTGCAGTGAGGCGTCCTGCCCCTTGATTCCCTTCACTTCTGGCTGGCTATTCAAGTCCCTCTAGCCCAGTGAGAATAAAAGGAATGATTAAGAGTGCTTGGAATATGGCTGACGGGGCTTCTGGTCTGGTTGGGAGGTGGAAGCACCTCAGAATCAGGTCGTGTTTCCCACCAGAGCTATTTACCGGCAGACACAAAAGGGGCTCTCTTAGATAGTCAGCTGGGTGATGGCAGAATAAGTGGGTAGACATTCACAGGAGTTCCCCAGGGATAGGGAGACCTTCCCTTTAATCAAGGTACAGTTACATGTTCAGGGTAGCTTTTTGCTGTGCACCATTCCCAATGACAATGATTTTCCTGGCAGCTGTGCCAGTCTTTCCTTTTGTGGCAAAATGGATCCCCAGCACTAACATGTCAAGGCATTGTCGAATAAATCCAAGGGCACAAATTCATGTGAATGGAGAGCCAGCATTTTGGGAGCTCCCTGTAACCCCAGGAATAGGGAGGATGCACAGCAGAGAATTAAGTCTGTGTAACTGTAATGCCATAAGGCCATTGCCTGAATCCAGGACTGAACCAAGGTCTGTGCAAACTGTTTCTGGCTCACAACTCACTCGGTCCACTCATTAGTGGGAAATTCCCCTATAGATAAGGATGACTTATCAGGAGCTCCTAACTTTGTGTACATTTCAGGCATTTCCAAGTTTTGCGGCAGAATTTTGTTTCTAGTTAAATGAAAGCTAAGGCTCCTCCTGCAGTCAGTCAGCCTGTGAAACTTTGAGGAAATGCAGCATCCCAGCAGTTCAATTAAAATGGAACGTTTGCAGTCATGCATTGCGATACTCTGAAGAAGACTTCGTGAATTTCAAGGCTCTCGTGTCAACAGTAGTATTTAAGCATGGTGTGTGTTTTTTACTGGTACTTAACTACGCTTTCTCTTGCATCTCTTTTGGCAGTGCTGGTGTTGGCAGGACTGGTACCTACATTGTGATAGACAGCATGCTGCAACAGATAAAAGACAAAAGCACAGTTAACGTCCTGGGTTTCCTGAAACACATCAGGACTCAGCGCAACTACCTCGTCCAAACGGAGGTGAAAATATGGAGACGTATTCATTGTCATAGCAGTGAACGGTTAAAATTAAATCTTTCTACACAGAGAAAGATTTGCCAAGTATAATTTCCATGAGACTTTCTCTGTTGAATACATACTATGTTTCTGATATTTGTTTTAGATTCAGCTTGGAAGGGCATGTAGATATTATTTATCATTTGTGTAGCACTTAAAATAAATATTTCACAAAGAGTTTTTAAAAGGCCAAAAGCTCATGGTCATATGTAGTAACAAGACAGAAGTGGGACTTTTAATATGTAAAGGTAATGAATCCTTTATAATATGCAGTGCCTTAATTTAGGTGGAGAGTTATTGAGAAAAATTAAATGATGTTGCCCTAATTCCAAACATGTTAAAAACTTTTTTGGTAACAGTAAATCATGAAAACTCTGAGGGATGGTGAGGACAGGAGAGCCTGGAGGAATGTTGTCCATGGGGTCGCGATGGGTCGGGCACGACTTTGCGACAAACAACAACAAATCATGAAAATATTCATAGAAGAAGCAAGCTGTGCCAGAGAGGAGGAGGAGGAGAATTCCATGCATTAAGAAAAGTGAAAGAAAGCACAGAAAATGTATGGAGGGGGGCAGGGGAGTAAAAGAAAATAGAACAGGAAAACTACAAAGTGGTCTAGGAGGTAGTAAAGTTGTTGCATGTATAGCGCTTGCCTCTGAAACGCCTGAGCTCCAGTCACTCACAATGGAGTTGCTTTGAACTACGCCTTGTTTGTACCTGCCATTCCAGGAGCAGTATGTATTTATTCATGATGCCTTGTTGGAAGCCATTCTGGGGAAAGAGACTGAAGTTTCTGCCAACCAGCTACACAGCTACGTTAATACCATTCTTATACCAGGCATTGGAGGCAAGACTCGACTAGAAAAACAGTTCAAGGTAAGCTTCTGCCTTTGCCCTCAGCCCTGCTGCTCTTTCCAGGTCAAAGTACCAGATTAAAACTGGAATTTTATCAAAGGGAGGATGGTCTGAAAAGCGTGTTCCAGTCCCCAGGAAGAGAGTTCCCATTGGCACTGTACTAGAGGCGGTACAGCACAGCATCTCAGAGCGTGCGTGCCTCGGACTGCAGCCGGGCTCCTGGATTCAAGGGCAGAAACAGCCAGAGGCACGTGCACACGGACACCCGCTTTAGCTCTGTTCAGAGTAAATGAAAACACTCTTGTTTGTAAAAAGTGAGTGTGGGAAGAAGAGGGGACTGACCATAGAAGGCAGTGATCCTAGAATCATACAATAGTAGAATTGGAAGGGGCCATGAAGACCATCAGGTCCTCGCTGTTGCAGGACACGGTTTGCACCATCCCTCTCAGGTGGCTGTCCGGTTTCTTTCTGAATGTCTCTAGTGAGGGAGGGCCCATGACCTCTGTAGGCAGCTGGCTCCACTGTCGTATTGCCGTGATGGTGAGGAAGCTTGTCCCCCCTCGGTCTTCTCTTCTCAAGGCTGAACATGACCACTTCTCTCAGCCTCTCCTCATAGAGCAGTGTTTCGAAAACCTGGATCATTTTTGATGACTAAGTCCTGCTGCATTCCCCACACCCACATTTCCAGTATACTATGTATCAGATCCCTTGTATCAGTGCAGACAGAGATAGATCACTGTAGATCTCTCTCTCTCTCTCTCTCTCTCTCTCTCTCTCGCTCATATTTAACAGTTTGCAAAGTGCAGCCCTCAGGGCCACTTCCTCCACTGTCTATAAGTTTCCCCAGCAGATTTTCAAGAAGCGCAAGGGGAAGGGGGAATCAACAAAGATTGCTTTTCCACAATTTGCCTTTGGGATTCCTGCCCTCCCAGATCCATCCATAGGACTTTATGCTGGATCTGACTTTAGTAAAACTGAAACAATTAACAGATTATAATCTAAGAGTCCCAGATTGTAAAGTATGGTTTAAATGTATTAAAATACCTGTTTGGGGAATGGCAGAGGCAGTATGAAGAGTCTTTCCAGATCTTACAGCGTCCTGTATATTTCAACATTCTGCTAGTCATATATGAGTTTCATACCATCTCATACCTGAGACTCAGTCGGAACACGAATGCTATATAACAGTTCTGTCACAGATTCAGACTACAGTCTCCCACTCATTTCTCTGGAAGTAGGTCCTATTAAACTAAATGGGACTTCTGATAGCACTGTGACCTCAGCCTCCTATGGGCATTTCAGCTTCCTACAGTTGGCATCACTGCAAGCATGATATTTGGTGGTGTAATTCAGGTGAACAGGCAACATAGCAGAACAAATTTGTTCAGTGACAGGATACCATTACAGCTACTCTCTGCATCATTACAACTGTTTGTTTGCTTGTCACACCTAAAGCCTTTCTTTCCTGCATGGAGTTCAAGGCTGTGGACTTGTTTCCCCCACCCATAAGCAGGCATTTTATCTCAACATAGTTTGCTCTAAGAAATAGTGACTGGCCCAAGATTACTCAGTGAGCTTCATGGCTATGAGCAGATTTTAACTGGTCTCTAGTCCCTTGAAGTGCACCTAGTCGAAGCTACATTAGCACACCCCAACCTGGTGCCTCTAAATGCATCGAGTGGCAATTTCCATCAATCTAGAGCAGCATGTCATGGAAACAGAGTGGAAGCTCTCTTGGTCACGTGGCCCAAAGGGCTACCAGGACTGGAGATACCCTTGGCGGCTACGAAGTCCTGAAATAACAAACTTGCATGTCTACTTCCTATATAGCTCCTGGCAAAGCATGCTCGTCATCATGAAACTTACCTCTGGCCTCCTCCATCAGCCAGGGAACCAGGTGGACCAAGCCTCACTGGGAGGCTGCACCCGCTGCCTTCCAGGGTTCACTTGATGCTTGTGCATAGGTGTGAGCCAGCCAGACAGCCTTGGCTACTGGGCTGTATAGAAATGAAAACTGATGATGAGTCCACTGTTCACTGGGCGTATAGAGTCAAGGCTTGAGCAGATTAATCTCACCTCTCCAAGGATCTTGCCCACATCATATGACAGTTTTAAAAATTAAAGTATCTGTAACAGTAGAACAAACCAAAGCTACGTTCATTGTATCTGCATTAATTATGACATTTAAGTGGGAAGAAGTGCAAGTGGCCTTATGTCTAGAGTGACTTGCAGATTGCACCACCGAAGTATCACACAGTTAACTTGGTATGCAGAATAGGTTATCCTGGAAGTAACTGACCTCAGCTACAGTGTTCATGTTTGCAGTTGCAGTAAGGATCCTTAGGCATAGTCCTGTTGTAATGCCTGATCACTAAATGAGGGAGCTTTTCATTTCCTCAGTGTTGCTTCTGACCTGTGTCTACCTTTAGGGTTTTGAAAATAACTTTAGAACCTGTTAAATCACATTGTCTAAGGGTGGAATGGAACTCCATAGTGATGCAGACCTGTGCGAACTGTAGGTCCAAGAAGTATTTGTATAAATGCATTTCTTTAGGCATAATATGGGTTCGCCTGGTATTTTGAATGTCACTAGCAGATCTAGCAATACAATTTGGTCTTCCACCCATTCAAGTTTCTCAGATGTGTGTGTATTTTAAAAGAACAGCTAACCAAAGAATGCTTCAATCTTGTTTCCACTTTGTTCAACTCTTTCAGCTGGTTATGCAATGCAATGCAAAATATGTGGAGTGCTTCAGTGCTCAGAAGGACTGCAACAAAGAAAAGAACAGGAACTCATCAGTAGTGCCATGTAAGATTGATTGCTCCTTTGAGTCTGACTGCTGCTTGGCATAAATTACTTCTGCTAAGTTCTGGATTGTGTTTACATGAAGTGTTGCAGGCCCTGGTTTGGATTGTTAAGCATTACTGGGTCAAAGCCCTCTTTAAATAAAATTGAGTTGCTGGTCCTGGTGCCAGATACCAAATAATGCATTCCAGGACGAAATACAAATCAGGAGTTTCAGACTTTGTGAAAATCAGTATAAGAGTTTTATATATTGTTGAAGGGATCTTAAAGTCATGTTTCAGCATCTTTGGGCTAACTCAGTGATGCAGCTTCACCCCTCAAGGAATGCTTTTCATAAAGCATCTTCTCTGAGCCTAATGGTCATTACTGCTAAGCAAAGCTTCATTGGCTTGGAGAGGAGAGCACAGAGAAGGGGTGCCTCACCTTTTCCTTGCCTGGCATTCCTCGTATAACTTTTTCCCTGCAGCTGTTCCCCCATGTTCCTCCATGGGCATGCGGTCTGTCATTCCGGCCTGGTGAGCCCCCAGCTCTCTCTTGAGCTAGGCCTTGCATAATTTAAAGATCTCCTAATGTGTCTCATCATAGGCAGAACATGCAGTAGTTCTGCTCTCTAGGCCCAAGATACATTTCCCATTTCTTTCTGGGCTGATATAATTGCTTCCCCTCAGATGGCCCAGAGAGCTTCATGTTAGAGGAGGAATATGCTGCTGCCTGTTACTTGGTGCTTTGGGCATTCTGGGGTTAGCAGAAAGTCTTAACATGGTATTCCTAAAATGAAGTCCTCACACGAACTTGTCTTTAATCATTTCATCTCCTGTGTCAGTGCAGCATGTTTCATTGCGCTGGGGCTGGCCCTGGGAGAGATGGCAGTTGTGTTGTGATGTTTCTGCTGTGATTGTGAGCTCCATTTGATTCGACTTTTTGTTTGATATTGCAGCTGAGCGAGCAAGGGTGGGACTGGCTCCGTTACCTGGAATGAAGGGAACTGATTACATTAATGCCTCTTATATCATGGTAAGAAAATCAACATTCCGGTGCAAGTAAATCAATGGAAAATAAGCAGATATACGATGCCTCCCTCTCTACAGAAGATGAAAGAGCATTTTGTCTCGTATTCCAATGAAATGATTCTGAGGTTTGTTTGTTATTTGTTTCCTCAAAGAGCACTGTGCGAAGCCCTGCTGAGCATCATAACATGCTGCTAAGAATTACGAGAATTTCCATTTTTATAACGTAAAAAATAAGGATGTGGCCCATCTCCTCCTATATGTGTAGTTCACAGTATGAATTTGCTACAGAGCTCCTTGGAGTTTTCAAACTCTCCTCCCACCATAGCAGGCCAAACGCCCATTCCAAGTAGCAGCTGGCATGCTTCAGTGCATGTGCATCTGTCAGAGAGCCGAGTACTTAAAGGGGCCATTCAGCCCCAAAGGGAGCCTCTCCCGCTTCCATATAAGCCTGAAGTACTTGATCCTGCCTAATCTTGGAAGCTAAGCAGGGTCAGGCCTGGTTGGAATCTGGATGGATGACTTAATGTTGTGAACTGCTCAGAATGCTTTGGCTACAGGTGGTATGGAGATGTAACGGATAACAACATCAACAACAACAACACAGAACTCTGGGAGTTGTATGTGTGAGCAAGAGGAATATATCAAGCCCTCCGTTTCAAAACCTCACAGTAACCTGTTCTTGACTGTTGGGCAGTTCAGTATTATTTGCAATCACATCCTGCCGAAGGAGCCTTTATAAAGCATCCTAGGTGACACTTATTGTACCAGAAACTGAATGAGTGGCATCACAGAAGGAACACAAGATATCCAACAACGATGCCTCGGGGACCATTCTTTCTAATTAGCATAAGCAATTATTAGCTGCAGCTCATCATATTTGTTTCCAGTATGGCCGTCCTTACTCAGTAGGTTGCCATTCCTAGTGCAAACCATTCAGTTAAGTGCTACATGTTTACTGAGTTTATTTTAAGTTTACATGTTCCCCAGTATTGTTGTTAGGATAAATGAAAACAGCGGGGAGCTGAAAAAAATAGCAATCAAATGCACTAGTTTTGTCTGTTCTCAAGCAAGAAGATTAATGTTGCCAAACTATTCCATACCCAGCCTAACTGCTATGTTTGGTTTCTGCTTTGAAAGGGCTACTACCGGAGCAACGAGTTCATCATAACACAGCATCCCCTGCCACATACAACTAAAGATTTCTGGAGAATGATCTGGGATCACAATGCACAGATCATTGTCATGCTTCCAGATAACCAGAGCTTAGTAAGTTTCTTGATTCCGCACTCTGTATATTGATGATGCAGCAGGGAGCAAGAACTGGGTCACTTAGCTACACATTCTGGCTGTGTTTAGGGGAAGGCGTAGTTGATGTCTCAGTTAACAGCTCCACAATCTACAATATCCTAAGAAGCCTGGAGGGAGGGAGAGGAATGGCTAAGTCTTCCACTGTTAAAATGTCCAGGCTCTGTCCGCCCTACTGTGAAGACAAAGTCAATCCCCTGAACTTTTTCTAACAGAAAGAAAGAAAGTCTTTGCTGCTTTTGTACCATTCACCCCTGAAGGCTTTCAGCTTAACATCATGTCCATGGACCGCCACTGAGAGATTAATCTGCCTGCCTCAGCAACAAAATATGTAGATTTATTTAGCTAAAGCTCTCAGGAAAACATACTTAACATAAAGAGAAACCAATGATTTTATGATTACTGTTGCACTGTATCCCTATAAATAGGAGTTGGACATAGCTGTTGTTTTTATGGAATGCCTACTCAATTCATCACAATTCTTTGCTGGACATTATTTGAGTAGCTTTGGTGAAAGGCAGCCATGCACAGTGACTGCGTTTGTGTGACATGGCAGCAACCTATCATGGGTAACTAGCCACAACAGGTCCTTGTTTTGTCCACACGCAGACCGCTTTGCTGGTTTCTTCCTAACTCGCCAGGCCCAGTGAGCAGAAAAGCAGCCAAGATCATAATGGACCTTCCCAGGATAGCTAGTTGCTTCATGGGCTACAACTCAAGTTTACTAGAAGGCGTATTCTTGCAACTGCTCTGGGGTTAATTCTCCTCAAAGTAGTTCTTCATGCAGGGCATCATTAAACTCACAAATCTGATAGCACATGATGCCCATCTATGTGGAAAGCTTTATGGAGGATAAGGGTATCGATGGCGACTAGTCTTTATTAGATTACACTGGTATCTTGCCTTTTTTCCTTTTGCAAGGAACTCATGATGGCGTTCATTGTCCTCCTGCTTCTATTTTATCCTCACAATTCAGTTAGGCTGAAAGTAGGTGACAAAGTCACCAGTACGTGCCATGTCCGTGTAGGGACCAGGACGCTGACTGCCCCCATTCTGGTCCAGTCCAGCGCTGTAATCACTGCACCTAACTACACAGTCTACAGATGACCTCGGGGAAGCGCTCATTACTGGAAAGCTATTGCACTCACGTCCCAGTTGCAGGCTTCCTATAGGCACCTGGTTAAGCATTATGGGAACAATGCTGGACTAGGTAGAGGTTTGATGTGACCCTCATGAGCATAGCTCATGTTTTCTTACATTCTCATGGGCTCCTCTTGTGAGGACTCCAGGGTAGCTTGTGGGAGCAAGAGGTAGGCCATGATCCCTTCCTGCTCCAGTGTCCCTAAGGAGTGACAATTTGACACTGAGTTTAGGTACAGGCCTAGTCTGGATCCCTGCACTTGTGCTATAAGCTGGTGTTGTCCTTGACAAGTTTCTTCACTGCTTCAGTTTCCCAGAATTTAATCACATCCTCTGGGTCACAACCAGCCAGGTGGTGATATTTTTTAAGACTGATGATTTTAGCAATAAATATTAGCGATATTTTCAAGAAAAAGGGTTTTTTTTTTGTTTTTCAGAATTGAGATCTTTTAACAACTGAAAATACATCTCCAATTTAATCTTAATTTAAAAATATGATCTTTCTAAGTTTGGAAGTCTTTACTACAGAAGGGAACCCTGAGTGTTTGAATTAAAGCCTAAATAGATTAAAATAACTGATTAATAGCTAATTAACATTGTGTTTTTAAGCAGGTGCCTGCCCCAAGGCATAAGCAAAAATACATTATAATGAGATTATATTTCTGGAAATGTGTATTCACTTAAAATTTTAATGATATAGATACATTTTAAAATATATATTTCCCTGTGAAGCCAATTAAATATCAGACTTGCTGTGTTTGACAACTAAAAGTAAACCTACAAATGTCATACTGTTGCTTTACATGAAAGCGTTTTGCAGAAAGGTAGTTTGTGATCCTGCCTATAAACCAACTTTTGATCCACTGAATTTCACCCATATAAATAAAAGATAGAGACGTATATGAAGAATGTTTGTCTTCTGTTTGGTTCACTTGTCTTCAGGCAGAAGATGAGTTTGTGTACTGGCCAAGTCGGGAAGAATCCATGAACTGTGAGGCGTTTACTGTGACCCTTATCAGCAAAGACAGGCTGTGCCTCTCTAATGAGGAGCAGATTATCATCCATGACTTTATCCTTGAGGCTACCCAGGTATACACAACATCCTTCAGAGGTGAATCTGGAATGTGCTTGACATGCAAAGTGCTGCTGATGTCAGCCAGCACTCTGGCGAAGGTTGTCGATGGGCTTGGCTGGACAGCTCTGCTTGGCCATCGCAGGTCTATCAGCTACACTCCTACTTCCCAGGGGGCTTCCTCTTGTTTCAGTTTTCTTTTCAGCCTGCCATTTCCATAGGAATGCCATCTGATCCGAAAGCAAAACTGCTTGGCAAGCGGACAGCACACCAAGGGATCAATACAGGGCGGGACTCACCCACCCGTCCCCCTCTGCAGATACCTGAAACCACTGATAATGAGGAACACGCTATACTGTACAAGACTGTTCTTTTTTCACAATTTCACAGATAGAAGATTCATTTTTACCATACATCCTAGCAACCTCAGCATATGATTTCTTTCTTTCCCTACTAAACTGAGTATTTTCACTAAAGAAAGCACTTTGCGACTCCTCTTTGCCACTTTACAGCACTGCCCAACTTCTCCTTGCCACTTTATGACTTCTCTTTCGAACCAAGGTCCACCACAGTTAAGTAAAAGCACAGCCATTGAACCAGCACATATGGGGGAGGGGGGGGTCAGCTGTATTTTCTTTAGAAAAGGCTTATGAATACTACAGTTCTGGAGCCCCTGGGAAGGCCTCTGAGCAGCCATAAAGTATGCCAGATTTTTCCCTCCAAGGATGGAGAGTGAGGTCAGCATTTGGAGAGACGATCCAGTTGGCAGAGCTCTCCTCCTGGCAGCCATGGAAACCATGGAATCCACTTCTTCTCTGACATCAGAAGGGAGTGAGGTGGGGGACAGCATTACTGGAAGAGATTAACTTTGTCCCCTGGAAACCAGCAGGAGGGAATTCCAAGGAAAGTTAGCAGCCCTGAAGGGGTCAAAAAGCAAAAATGTTGCTTCACCCTGATTTCCGCCCTGCTGGTGAGAGCCTAGCAGTGTTTTGCCCTGTTCAAAACTTCCAGTTCCTGCAAACCCCCAGCCCCCGCTTCAAGTAGTTTTGCCGTGGAAGAGTTCAGTCCAGCCTTCCGTGAGCAGAAGTCCACTTGCACAGTCAGATTCCCACCTTCTCCTGTCCTTTGCAGCCCTCATGACCCCTCCCCTCATGCTCCAGAGCAGATTTGGTGGACATACATAGGCTGCAGGTGGGAAGGGATCTCTGTCACACATGTACTTTCCCTTTTGCTGATGCAGTAACACCATTGCACCCAACCCTATGTTCCTAAGTCCAGTTTTACCCGTTAGAAACTATAGGGGAATGCTTACTAGAATTCTCTGGATACGTTGTGGCTCTTTTTGAAAATGAGCCATACCTGACCCCAGGTAGACAAATTGGGTTGCATCCCATTTTTGTGGGGAAGTTGGTATCCCCTAAGAGATACCAACTTCTCTCTGAGGTTCTGTGCTTTTCCTGAACAAATGGCAGACTAGAAGTAGATCTGTTTCAGCCAGCCATTTGGAAGTAGGTCCATTCCTGAGTAAGCAGCATTCTCTAGTCCCTGTACACCAAGCAGGCATGCCAGCAAGGCATGATGCCTTCTAACCCCTGCCATAGTCCTTGTGCTGATGTCTGAGTGTGTGCATTGCCACTGTTTACAGAAAAAGCAGCATTGAGACAGATGAGGGATTACAGTAGACAAAGAACAAAAGAAAAGGCAAAATGGAACATGGTAGTGGTGCAAACAGCCTAGGCTTTTAGGCGGAAAGGTTTTATTGGACTACTGTGTGTTTTGCAGCAGGAAAGCAGGCAGTATTGCAAGCTTCAGAGTACACTGGGTATATGGATCTTTGGACAGCTGGTGGAAAGATAATTGTGCCTTTGGGGAGAAGAGGAATGGATGAATGACGCTCTTCTTTCTACAGCTTTCCATTTGATTTCATTTTCAACCTAAGGCGTGCCTCACAACTACACCAACCAGGAACCCTTACCCAGCATTGTCTGTTCAAGATTGTGCTGCTGGCTGATGTAGGCCTTGTCTCCTATGGTCCTTGCTACCATGTAATGGATCAAGAGACCAGTAGATTCTCTTGGTCTGCACATGCAATCAGTATGAAGCATAACCACCATTCTCCATGCTACAGGCAGGTGGGGCATCCTTCATCTTCCCATTATATCATCATGAATGAAGACCTTCCTGTTTGCCTGGAAGAACTCCTTACTCATTGTATTCAGACATTCTCCTCCTTCCCCTCAGGAACAAATGTTGTTTGTTGCTAAGACCAAATGCAGCTAAGACCACTAAAAGACTTGAAATGCAGTTAAGTACCCAAATAGGAAAAAGGAGCTCCAATTTTAGGGATGAAAGGTACAAGCTTTTCTCATCCAGAGCAATCAGAGAAATGGTCAACCGCTTTGCAAATACAGTGGTGGGAGTTAGGGGTGGGTTTTAAGCATAGAGGAAGAATGAAAATGGTGCATAATTAGGTTGGTTTTCATTTCAGGATGACTACGTTTTGGAAGTACGCCATTTTCAGTGTCCCAAATGGCCAAACCCAGATGCTCCAATCAGCAGTACCTTTGAGCTTATCAATGTAATTAAGGAAGAGGCCTTAACAAGAGATGGCCCCACTATTGTTCATGATGAGTATGTATATTCGCCGGATGACATTGGTGACTACAATGGATAAGAAAAGTTACAGTCGAAATGGGAGTTTACTTGGTCATTTACTTGGAAGGTGGAGGGGGTATTTTTATTACTTTTAAGTTTCACAATGATTCATTTCCAGTATCTTATAAGATACAGTAGTCTGTGTACAGTAGCTGAAGCACCTGTGAGCGGAGCAGGGTGACTAGCAATAATCTCATGTGACTGGCAATGATCATGAGAGGCAGCGGGAGCATCATGGCTGGTAGTCTCTGTATGCAGCACTGCAGTGCCCCTTGCTTAGATGCCCCAAGGCCACGATATCCTCTGAGAAGGAATCAGAAGAGGATTGAGGAGGAGACGTGAAACAAAGGAGAAAGGAGTCCATGACTCAAAACCTGCCAATTGACGAGGTTGCTTGCTTGTGCCTAAGTGATGCTTCGAACAGAGTGAAGCACGGGGGGGGGGGGGTCATTTACTGCATGATTCATTTCAAAAGCAGTTTCTGCCACAGCATCAGGTGTGGCTGCTCACAGTGGGGCCTTAAGCTGTCCATGGATTATAGCCATGAATTAAAGTGCAGCCAAATGGTCATGAGAATTGTATTTGATTTAATGTCAGAATGTGCATCTTTAACGAGGGGGAACCTTTCCTTGGACAGCTAGGCAAACTGCACACAAATGAAAAATAGGTTTCTTGTATCTTGAATTCCCTTTCCAAAAAGAACTGACTGTGTGCAGGAAGTGTGGATCTAAAAGTAATATTAAGTCAGTAAACCGGCTCAAGGCAGCAGCTGTTTTCAGGGTTATGCATGTATTTAGTATTTCTGCCCTCCTCTACTGGAGGAGGTATCTAATTATCTGTTGCATTCCTACAATGTGAGGATGAGGAAGTCCTCCTAAAAAGGACAATTCAATTCAGGACTCCGCAGGCAGGTTTTCTTTACTACATCTTGCCTTGCTCGTGCACAATATAAAACACAGGTGCTTTTGTCAGCTCATAGTAAGTCATGGCTAGTTTTATTGCGTACCTCATCTGCGGCTGCTTTTGCTGCTCTTGCAGTATTCAAAATTGCTTTAAAAAAATTAAGACAGATATTGATTCAGGCACTTCATGAGACACTTTGAACAAATCAAAGCTGTTTCTAACAGTGCTGAGTCATTTCTTCAGTAAATTGCTTTTCGTATTATTTGTTGTATTTGCTGGGGTTTATTTTTATGCCGTAATACATAATATATGGTCCACTTTTAACTGCATTCTGTGGGAATGCAGCTGAAAATGATTTTGTTTCCTTCTGTATACTTGACTTCATCATCACTTCAGCTATTCATAGGGCACACGAATCCCAAGTGTAGGCAGACCAATCCCAAGTGTAGGCACACCTGCCTGGTAGGAAATATATGTTGCCAATAAAAGAAAACCGAAGCTGAGAGTGGCCTGGTTCGCACATATTAACTTACAACATGGGTTGCTGAATTCTGGATTGTTGTGCTGTATGAATTCGGCCATGCAGACAAACTATGATTTCTTAATCATGAACAACCCAGAAGCAGGATCCATGGCCTGCTGTGGGTTTTGAACTCTGGGTTATGTGAAAACCAGATCCATGGGTTGTTCCACCACATTGCAAAGATAGTGGGCAAGAGAAGTCAGAAAAAAGAGCAGTCGCTCCAGTGCCTCCGAGGCATTTGGGATTCAGAGAAAGAGCAAATAAAGACAGAGGAAAATGAACTGCCCAAGGACTAAGAAAGCAATTGGTTTGTTTGATCATCTACAATTTTTTGATTCTGTGATTCATAAAAGTTGGTGGGGGACAGGAGACAAACCATGGGTTAAATAAACTGTGGGGCAGCATTATGTATGAACCAGGCCAGAAACTCCCAGTGTTTATCACTGCCTGACCAGAGTCCCGTAATTTACTTGTGAGTGTCTCAATGCAATTGTTATCTGGCTTTGCAGGTATGGAGCAGTGGCAGCTGGAACATTATGTGCCCTTACCACTCTGTCCCAGCAGCTGGAGAATGAAAATGCTGTTGATGTTTTCCAGGTGGCAAAGATGATCAATCTGATGAGGCCTGGAGTATTTACAGACATTGTAAGTCCTGAAATGGGAGCAAGTTCTTGAACAGAAAATAAGTGCTGAACAGAAAACCATCCCATTAAAAGCTAAACACACTTTGTGAACAATCCTGCGCCAGTCCCCTGTGCACACAAATTCACACTATCCTCACTTTCTCTGCCTATACTTGTGGAATCTCCACTAGTTTTGCCCTCTGCTCACACACAGAGTACAGCATGATTTTTGATCCCTGTAAGTCTGAAGTAGAAATTCCCTCTGCTTTCCAGTTTGAGTAAGTGCAGTCTAGGAGAGAGAGTATTGCCATTCAGCTACTTCTTCCTTGTTTACATGACTGCAGGCTTGGCAGTAAGCAACAGCAGCAAAAGGTCTTATGTGCACTGGGTCTTCACATGAGAGATGAATGAAAAGTACATACAGTATTACAATGGCGTAAGCCTAAAGACCGCTTTCTGTAGAAGGTCTAGTTTTTGAAAAAGACTTGAAAGAGGAGAGAGGCTCTACCGTGGTAATGCAAAACTAACAAAGCTGTTTGATGTGGCAAAAGATGTTGAGCTAGGAGAGTGACAAGACTGAGGGTACGATCTCGTGCGTGTTCAGAGGGAGGAGAGTCCTATGAATCCTGGCAGGCTGAAGAATGCTGCGAGTTGTGGGCTTTTTCTGCCTAAACACAGATTTATTTTTATTTATTTGTTTTTCGATTTATATCCTGCCTTTTTCCTACAAAGGGCTCAAGGCAGCTTACATCATTCTCCTCCTCCATCTTATCCCCACAACAAGAACCCTGTGAGGTAGGTTGGGCTGAGAGTCTGTGACTGGCCCAAAGTCACCCAGTTGGCTCCATGGCTGAGCGGGGACTAGAACCCGGATCGTCTGAGTCCCAGTCCCACGCTCTTAACCACTACACCACACTGGCCCTCGTATTGCTCCCTAAAAATGTGTAGGTGAACATTCTACATGCTTGAATGTTAGGTAGCTTTAATCTCTCTGGTCTTTCCATTCCAGGAGCAGTACCAGTTTCTTTACAAAGCAATGCTAAGCCTAGTCAGCACTAAGGAAAATGGAAATGGCCCCCTGGCACTGGACAAAAATGGTGCAGTGATGGCCAACGACGAATCAGATCCTGCAGAAAGCATGGAGTCTCTTGTCTAATTGGAATACTGAAAAGGCACTTAATTTGTGGAATTTCTGAAGACTGAGTGAACTTTTTTGAGGCCTTTTTTGCCAGACTCTAGGTTATACAATAACCCAATTACTTTTTTACACTGATAAAAAGTTTTGATATTTATTTTTGCCATTTTATGTCTTAATGGTATCCTACTGAGCATTTGCACCTCTGTTTATTTCACACAGTGAAACACAATTTTATCTAGTTTGCACTATACGATCAGTGTTAACTGCCTATAAAGTTGTAAGACAAAGCAAGCAAGCAAACCCTGATGACATTCCATGACAACAAACACGCTACTTATTAGTTGAAATGCCGTGAAGTTTTGTTAATTTCTTTGAGCCTTGACTTTAAGTCTTGAATGCTAGACAAGAAGGATTCTTTTTGATTTACAAGAAAAATGCTGTACCCTTACATACTCCAATATTTATTGCTTAATTTTCATATAACTTTGGTAATTGTTATAGGTCTTCTGTATTCCAGTAACATGAATGAGTGTTCATTTCTTCTTCCTTTCTTTCTTTCTTTTGACAAAGTGGTGGTTGATCACTAGCTAGAGTGAAGTGCAGTAGCTTCTAGAGGTTGAATAGTTGCTCTGCATTGTCTTGGATTCCTCTTCTTGGTTACACAGAAGCCTATGAATTGTTTTCTATGGAGCATATAAAAGTACATTCCCAAAACATAGAGCAACTGAGATCTGAGATTTAGTTTCAAGCAATGTCTTTACAGCTTCATTGATTCCCCAGTTGTTCTTAAGAACATTTTAATTTCAATATGGTCATAGAATATTTAATAATTCACAGTACAACAGTGTCAGGTCATTTTATTCCAAGAGCATTTAGGTAACAATATTCCCAGCTATTATACTATTCACCATTTTACATTATATTTCATAATTCTTCTGAAACAGGATCTCTATCTTAACAGCATGTTACATGATGGAGAAAGGAATTTCTTAATTTCATAGCTGTTAGATGACGTTTTTACAGGTGTGTGCTTTTCATACTTTAGTGCTAAACCATACTGATCCATATTACTGGCAAAGTGATCTAATAAAAAAAAACTACCTATAAGAGTACATTCTTCCTCTTTTTTTAACAAAATTATTTAGGAGACACCTTCTGATTTTATAGATTCATTCCCATACATTTTACATTATACTGTGCAGCCCTACAGTGCAATCCTATATACATATCTACTCAAAGTAAGATCTACCGAGCCTTACTCCCAGATACGTGCGTATAGGATTGCAGTCTTAACCTCTTTCAAACCCAAGAAAATGGATTTTCATGAGTTCACTTAACACTTTAAGTTGTTTCAGTTTGCTTAAAACTGTTTTCCAAACACCTTTCTGTGCAGCTCATTTAAGTGTGGATGGTCCCCCTGTGCTGCTTTTTATTTACGCTGTAAGACCGGGGAATGAACTAAATTCTGATGAGCTGCTTGGTTACATTGCCAAACCCATCTGCAGTCCTCAATAAGCCATGAATGCCCACAGGAGAAAGATTCCATAGGAGACCTTGTTCCTATCAAGACTGGCTTTAATGGCTAAAATTCCTAATTGTCACACTAGGGCTGCTCAAGTTAATCCAATTTAAATGGCTTATGCTTGGAGTTTCTCCCTGAAAATATTTGTTTAAAAAGGACGTTTTCTGCTCTGAATTCACTTTACGATGTCTCCAACTTGGTGTAGAAAACATACCCACATATGAAAACATTTAGATACAGGTTGGCTTTCTCTCTCTGCCTAAAACTTCTGCACTAGGTGTTGGTGATGAACGTATCTGGGCTTGCGTGAGAAGGATATCTAGGATCAGCCACTGGTCTGCTTGTCACTGGAATGGTAGACCTTCTGGGCTGTATTAATTCGGACTGTAGGTGGGGACTCATGCAATGGCTCCATACACAAATAACTATTTCCTGGCCATAGAAAATTAGATGTCAGGCAGAAGCATTTTAGCCCAGCGTTCTTCTTGACATCTCCTTCTGCTTGTGCAGGTCAGCAGGGCATTTCTTTCTCCATCATGTGAGCCCCAACTGTGAAATGTTGCATCCCAAACCTAGGTTCAGAGAGACTCCAGAGAGAACTAGGTTATTGTGACTGGCTGCAGACAATATAATACTCTGCACTCAGATTGTGTATGGGTTAAGTGTGGATTGTTGTTGGATTCTAGGTTTTTGCTGACGTATGGCTTATGTTTAAACCCAACTTAAGGAAAATCCCACAGTTCACAACCCCACAGCAAACCATGGGTTCTCTTCCTGGGTTGTTTGTGGCTAACAAGCCATCACTTGTTAGTACAGCTGAGTTCAGACAATATGTAATCCGTGCTTCAACAACAGCTCATGGTTCAGTGACAATCAACACTCAATCCTTGCTCTGTCCTTGAATGTGTGCTATCATGCTGTTTGAAGCCAGGCATGTTCAAGACCTCCGTATCTCCTCCATGGAGCTAAATTTACCCAGAATAGCTCTTAAACCAACCAAACCGCCACGAAAAATTCTAACATTCAGTAAGGACTGAAGAGCACCATCATTTATGAAATTGTTTGCATTAAACAGTTCCGGCCACTGCTACAAAAATGTCCTATAATATTACATGCATCGCTATGCAAAAATTTGGTATTCTTGTCACTGCAATGTTCAGCCTGCTTTAAACTGCAGTTTCCTGCAACAGCAGGGAGTTGGACCCGATGGCCTTCATGGCCCCTTCCAACTCTACTATACTATGATTCAGCATCTGTGGGACAAAACCACTTCTTCCTTTAGGGAATCATTTCAGTTCTCTCTGCAAACATCTGAGGGAATGTATTTGGGCATTAAATAACCATTCAAAATAAAACATATACACTTTTAGGGAAAACTGATATAAATGGCCATCTTTCCATTTACAAACAACAACAAATGAGCTTTGTTATCTCACACCTCTTGAAGGTATCTGCTTTTGTTTTCATGGATTTCTTCATAAGGGCAAATCTGGATTGCACCAGATGAACACACATTTGAAACTCTTCACCACTCAATTTCAAGTAATCTGGCTGTCCTTAAGTGGAAAAATTTCAAGCTGTTGCTATTAACATGGGATTTGAGATACATGTATAATTGTCGTTTCTTGTGTCCACAATCAAAATCAAATACTACATTTTCTTAAGCAAATGCCTGCTTCTTATAATACTTCTAACAGTGCCCTCCTGAAAGGGTGTGAAAAGGATCAACATGGCAGGGAAATTGTCCAGCCAAGCAACAGCTGCTCTGAAATTTATCCACTGAGCTGTTGCTTATAATTGTTTGTAATCACACAGTTAAGTGCCTCTGTCACATTGCTGCCCATTTTAAATTTACTCTTGAAGATATCCATGTGGCATTTTAAAAAATAGAGTCTTAAACCGCAGGAAGATCCTGCTTCTGGTTTGACAAGTCTACTGAGAAGGCACTTCCTTGGAAAGTGAGATAAAAGGGGCAGCCCCTCTTGCTCTGAACTCCATCAGCACCATGTACACATTCCACCTGTGGGATGAAGGTGCCAGTGTTCCCAGCCAGTAGGACGCATGGCGTGAAGCTCCCCGGAGGGGGGTTGAATGAGGCCATTGCACTGTGTCAGAGTTAAGATTGCTTGTCCAGGAGCTGCACTTCACCATCAAACCCATTTCTAGTCATGCCGTCTGTCCTGCTTCTGCTAGGACAGAGAGGCTCTGCTTGCATGGCATCAGGGACTGCAGGCCTCCCATTGCTGGCAATGGGCGCTGCTTCAGGAAATTACAACTTTTGAGCATGAGATTCATTTTGCTCATTTCACATCCATGATTTTGTGACAAGAAATGGATTGGTTCAAGAAGTTTAAAGAGGCATTTAGTGGCACATGTGTGTTTGTGCGTATGTTTTCATGTTGACTTTATCGGTTGCTTTCATTTCTGATTTTGTGGAGGGGATGCCACATAGGAAAATGAATGTGTTTGTGACAAGACTGCCTGGCTGTGCTGAAGCCACTTTCTTAATCTTGGTACCACATTGTGCAGGAATATGTTTGGGTGTAAAGTTTAAGTGAAAATTAGACCAGCATCGCTGATGTTTGGCTGTTTGCAAAGCCAGTGCCAGATGAATTGATGATGTAGGATTTCCTGTCATATTACATAGGACTTAGTAACAAGTCTATAATTTTCTTTAACATTCAATAGCCTTGATATTACATGGGAATCAGGCTATAACTTAACATTGCATTCTGCAGGTAAAGAAGGGAATAATAAAGATGCATTCTGGGGGAAGGGTCCAGTTTAAGAATGAGCTTCATTATCTAAGTTCATGATGACATGAAAAGCTGCACTTCCCATTTGGTTCTGGAGCAGCCATATTAAAGAAGGGATGGGCGCCTTGTGGTTCTCCAGATATTTTGGTTGCAATTCCTATCATCAATGGCTACTGATGGGAAGTGCTAGCCAAATCATCTGAAAGATCTTACATTGTCCACCACTGTATTAAAGATTTGAAACCAAATCCAGAGTAAGGCAGGACCAAAACAGGTGTGCCTGTAACTGTGTGCATTTATTCAGCATGCATCTTTGTTATGCAAATAGAGAGAAGCCTGAGGAATCTTGGGTTCATGTGGGGGTTTGACCCTTTCTCCCTGCCCCAGATCACATGAAAAATCAAAGTAGTCGTTTTTCAGAAGCCCTTTTTTCCAGAACCATGGCAGGGACAGAAAAAGAAATGCCCCCTTTTCTCTCATTCTTCAGCAGCTCTGAAGTTTCTCATGCTTCTTCTCAGCATCTATTTACATAACAAAAAGTGTGCATTAATTGCAGTCACTACAGTTGTCCTTAATTGAAATGGAAATCAATGGAACAAGTTAATCAAGTCCCATTAATTTCAACTGTATTTCAGCCCAACTAACTTTCCCTGGCTGGGGTGGTTAGGGTTGTTCCAAGACAAACTGCTTAAAGATTATTACTTTCTTTATTTTTACATTTCAACTCTGCTTTTTAACCAGTGGATCTTGCAGCTGCTTATCTAAGGAATATTGTAGCATTGCTTATCAGCAGAAGTTCTGAATCTATATGAACAGATTAGTAGTCTCAGATTTGGATGAGAGACTGAGATACTTGGACTTCCTGCTAGACTCAAGAACTAGATACTTCATATGGGAAAAATGACATCCTTGTGATGTTGCCTGGATCTTTATTAATTTGAAAACATACATCCTTTCCAATATTAGATGTTCTCAGAGAATTGAACATTTAGGCTGCAATCCTATACACAGTTACCTGGGAACAATCCCATTTAACTCAAAGGACTTACTTCCAAGTAGAAATGCATAGGATTGCATAAGACTGATGTTTGACTATCCTGGCCGGGCTAAGGTGATCTAGAAGCAAAGGGAACATGAAATGTACCATATTGTTTCCGTCTGTCTTTTGGTATTTACCTTACAAGCCTGGAAAATAAATACAAGTAAATGCCCTGAACCCTCAAGCTAAAGGAAAGGGCAGAGTCTAAAAAAAAAAAAAAAAAAAAAACTCCAGCCATTGGTATTCCCAGCTTACAGCCTTGGGGTTCAAACTGCATGATTTACGTTATACTTTTTTAATTATTATGGCAGTGAATATGAAAAGCCACTTGCATAAATTACGTTCATTACACATGCACATTGCAGGAGGCAAACCAAAACGTTTATTCTGACAAAAAAAAATCGTTTAGCATTTTGGAGAGACTGTTCAAGCGATGAATGAGGCAAAAGATTGTGTGTGTGCATATGTGTGTGTGCATGCAAGTCCATGCACATGCATCTGTATGTGAGAAAAACATACTTTTAGAATACATTCTAGAGTTAGTGCGAGCATAATCAGATGGGCAAAGTTTGCGTCTTCATTCTCTGAATGATTTCTGAGAAAGCTTCATTGGAATGCTGTCAAAATACTGTCCCGTTTTAATGACATAGCACAATGACCTTGTTATGAATACCTGTTTTCTTTAAACTGCTACTGTATTTTAAAGTAGAGATATCAATTTTACCAAAGAAAAATACTAATTCTTAGCAAAAAAAATAGTAAAAATATATATAGTGGAAAAATTAAAGAAAAAATAAGTGTAGTTGTCTTAGGCTGCAATCCTATACTCAGTTTCCTGGAAGTAAAGACTCAGTGAACTCATTGGGACCTACTTTTGTGTAGACCATGTATAGAATCGCACTATTAAAGACTTAGCAGTCGTACTCTCAAAATTCATTCTCTTCTGCCACCCACTCCTGTGATAGATGGTTAAATTAAAATGGTGCCAGTGAATTTTATATGAAGGGGAAATGTCTCGTTGCTTATCCACTGCATTTCATTTATTTTCTGTTTGAGATATAATTCTCTGCTCTTGTCAATCCTTTGAGCTTTCTCTCTTGGTTGCCATTATAAACAATGTATACTACATTGGCTTTGCTTATCTATATAGGGAAGGCATGCAAAACAAACAGGAAAGAGAGCGTACACAAAGAAACTGCAATGGAAAGACTTGGCCTCAGACATTGTCTTAGCTGTTCAACTGTTTTTAGTATTTTTGTTAGATATTTGCAAAGGGAAGCCTTTTCTACAGAGGATAATTAATTAATTTCAAGAAAAATGTCTTGAGTTTTAAGAATAAACATGTCTCCAAAAGAGGAGATCGTCAATTTTATAAAATGTCACAACTCTCCAACATTTGGGGTAGTGACCTTTCTTTCTTTTGTTAGACCTTTGAAACTAGCAAGCAGCCATTGTTTCTAAAGAACTAAGTATTCATCTCTATCCATTATTTTCATTTCTTTCATTTTTAAATAGCAGAAATCATTAAAACTGTAAATATTTTGTTGCTTGAATAAGCATCTTCTGGGAACTTTGTATCTATGGTATATAATCATAGAATTTTATATTTTCATATAAAGCTAATTTTTTTCTAGTTTCAACTTCTTCATAGTTTTTTTTCTTTTGTGGTGGATATGTGAATACATATTTTATGTGTATTGAAGTAGTGAAATGCCATCACATTCCAAAAAGAATTCAACACAAGTTATTTCTTTGGGACAGTGATTGTCAATGCTGGATTTCTTTAAATTCCATTGTCAGTGTGTGCAATAGGAATTAGACTTAACCAGTCACTGGATAAGTTTGTCTCATTGACCCATTGGGGATATGTGGTGTTTGGTTTGGGGGGAGTTATTAATTCCTTTGGTTTTTTGTTTTCCTTTTTTGTAACTTGAAGAATTTCCTTTTGTTATGTTTAAAAGTATATCAAATCATTCTATTATAGTGTTATTTAATATGTAAATTGTATTGCTATACATAAAATAAAGTATGGTTTTTGATGTATTTACAATACTGTGTTGCTGTTTCCGCAATATTTATACATATAATGTGTAAACTGAAACAGATGTTTGTCCTAATCCAGCATGAAAAATCAGTGCATGAAAAAGGGGGGACTGATTCCCATGCGTTCCGCCTGGGTGCGAATGCAGCCACCACTGCAGCCTATTTCAAAAATAAACAGCATGCATATCTCCTTTGCGCTGTGCACACAGCAGAAGGCACACAGAGCGACACCCATCTGCAATGCCTGGGAGCCAGAGTCAGTCATATCTAGAGTCCAACGGAACCAATGGGTTTGAGTTAATCATGACTTTAAGTACAGCATTTATTTCAATGGGTCTACTGCTAGTATAACTACATTTTATCCGACCCAGGATTTGGAAGGATAATTATGCACATTCCTATTTTCCTTGCAGAGCAAATGGAGAGGTGTGTGCCATGTGCTATTTTAGGTCATTTGTTGTATGGAATGCTGCAGTTAATGAAACTGGGCTGAAAGGTGAAAGGATAATATATTCCACATTAAAAGCTCAGAGCTGCGATCCCTGCTTAAGCCAAACTGCTGCACCGTGGGACAAGGACAAGATGGGGGGGGGAGGCATCCCCAGGACTTTTTGGGCACATTCTTATGCTAGGATAGAGCAAAGGTCAAAAAAAATGCTGGAAGTTGTAGGTCTTTGTTCTGTCTAACCTTGTACAGGACTATACATTTAAGGGCCTAACTTTGTTCACAGAACTGATTATCTGGCAAAAACAAAAGCAAAATTATTCCATAAATTTCTATATTATTATAGTAACTATTTCTACCACCCAATATTCAAGCTCTCTAGGAAGTTTACAAAAGATTAACATCTTAAAATATATCAAACATAACAAAAATACCATTTACAAAACACTTTAAAACATCCAATAAAAATCCCAGCAGTTAGAACTTTATCCTAGGCTGTCAAATGTCTGGGAGGAAGTAAGGGATAAGCTTAACCTAGCACTGAAAGGAAGGCAGTGTTCATTCAAGACAACCTCAGGGAGGAGAATAGCCCATGATCAAGGCACCACCGCCAAGAAGGCCTCCTCCTTATTGACAAACTTTTGGAAGAGGCCCTAGGGGGGAAAAACCCTTGGATTACTGTAATGTTTGGGCAAGTTTATACGTGGAGAGATTCAGTGTCTTACTACATGTGCAAGTGCATTGTCTGGGCATATATAACTGTTGAATGGCACAATAGAACGCAGCTTCCCATAAACCCTCAAACATGGAGGATTTCCTTCTCCCAAGATCAGGGCTGGGGGAGGCAGAAGCGCTGCCAAGATGCCTCATAGATGCATCATACCCCTCCTTCGAGAAGCAAAAGCAGCTGGGGTGGGTCTTGGCCCAGTCATGACTTTTCGACTATCCTACTTTCCAAGGGAGGTTTCAGAGAAACATGCGTGATGCTGCTTCTGTCCCTTGGCAGCAACCTGACCCGAATCCCCACTCGTTCCAAACCTATTTGCCTCTCAAGCAACTGGCACAAATCACAGCAAGTAAAGAGCAGCTATCAGGCCTGGAAGCACGGAGGCAGCAATGCATATCAATAGGTACAGAAATACCCAACAAACAGCAAAACTACAAAATGAGACTTGGGAAAACAAATACATTTAAAAGCTCTGGGGCAGAAAAGGGAAACTATGTGTCCCTCTTAGGCTTATTTCCATATGGATGACCACAGTCACACCCAGCCAACTAGTCCTAAGGCAGAACAAAAGACAAAGCGCCTCACACAGTCACAACAATGTCACTTCCAGTGAAGAACAACCTGCTGCTATATATATGTTCGCCTCGAATGCACAACTCTAATGCGCAAGACACGTGCCATTTTTCTCTCTCTCAAAACAAACACGCTTAGAATAATAGAAGAAAGTGCAATGGAAGCATTGCATGGTGCAAATCAAAGCACAACAGAAGAGGAAGCACTGGCATGGTGCCACCGGTGGGCTGGGTCCTGTACTAGCACCTGATCCCTGCACCCAATTAAACTACCCAAAGTGATGCCGTACACTCCAGAAGCAACAGTCTGTGTGAAGGTTACTGCAAAGAATCTGGCAGACAGCCGTGCGAGTGGCAACTCCGCTCTAGCTGACTTGCAGGAAACCTTCATATATCACAGCTGGCTGCCGCGGGCATAGATCTGCACCCCGTTTGCAAGAAGAAAATGTTCTGGATAAAAATGGGCATTAGTGCATGAAATCAGCTTGTCCTCATAGCTGTGGTATTGCTTCACTAATGGAAGCAATTAGTTCTAATCCAGGCTACTGCATAGTGTCCAATCCCATGCATGTTTGGACTAGAAAAAAAGTCCTAGAGCTGGCTGAGGGCGCTGGGCATTGTGATACTTTTTTCGGTTTCAGCAAGCCTCGACTTACATGCTTATCGTCTGTGAAAAAAACGGTACAGACCCCCTAGGAGGAAATGAAGTGTCAAATATTGAATTCAATCTGAGTGCCCTACCTCTGCTACTTCCTATGCAGTTAGGGCATTTGTACTATGCTTAAGAACACGAACAAATGTTCCACAAACACTTTCCACTAATAGTGGGAAGACTCAGTTAACAGCATGTATCAGAAGATCCAAACATTATATGGAAGAGGAATTTGGCCTTTAAAAATTCCAAACCTTAACAATGGTCATATTAATTGTCATGAATAACCATGACATTTCTATGCAATGAATGTAAATGCCATTTGCCGCTTCTTCAGGAGACTATAGTCTTTGGAAAAAGTTATTAATGTAGCTGCCTGAGCTCGGCAAGAAGGCAGCCAGCTCCAGTGCTCACAGGAACTTGGTCTTTATTGATCACCCCCATTTTATGTTAAGTCTTCGTTTCCAGTCAATGGTCCTTGATGTTTTCTTGATTTCAAAAGGGAAGCATCAACATCCAGTGTCATTTCTTCCTGTGTTCAATTACTCTTACAAGAAATGTGCTCTTCTCTTTGAAAGCTATGAATTCCACAATGGCCTGAAATCTAACTGAATTTTGCCTTTGTCCATAGAGAAAATCAGATTGGATTAAGACCGTACCTTTTCTGGGACTAAAATCCAATACATGTAAAAGTATTCTGCAAGACCTTGACATGTTCAGTTTTCTGTGCAACACAAGTGTTGACAACATTTTTCCTTTAAATTTATTAAATTTTAAGTTTGTTCTCTTAATGGTTTTACCATTCATTCTTTCTGAGAGTTAAACGTGACTCAGATCAGGGTTTGTTAACATTTCCATTTATACACACACAACAGTCTTGTGGCACTTTAAAGACTAACAAATTCATTCAGGCACAGGATTTCGAGTACACCGTCCCCTTCATCAGACTGTGTCCCTAACACTGACTTTTTTAAAAAGCATTTTAAGTGCCACAACATTCTTAGCTATTTTTTGCCTCAACAGACTAACATGGCTACCCACCTGGAAAACAATGTTTGCTATTTCTTCACAAAAGCTTCACAGAACTATTCTACAACAACATAAAGGCAACAGAAGCCCCTGGGCAAGAGCTGCTCTCAAAGCTTGATCTTCGAAGCCTGGTGTTAATTTTTAAATCTTTAAATGGCTTTAGGGCCAGGTTAGCTCAAGGATCATCCTCTCCTGTATCTACTTGCCTGGATCAAGATCGGAGTCCTGGGTCCCCTTGGCAAATGGCGCGAGGCAGGTAGCCTTTCAAGTGGTGGTACCCCAGCGAAGGAATGCCCACCTGAGAGAGGCTCCCTGGCATCCACGCTGTCATCAAGTCAGCACTAGGTGAAGATCTCTTTATTCTCCAAGACATTTTAGGCCTTCGGTTTTACAAAAAGTACTGTGTTTTTAGGTCTTTATACCACTTTCTGGCTTTTGTTCTTGTTTTTACTCTTTTATACATTTAAGGGTGTTTAGGTCAGGATCTACTATATAGTTACATTTTATGTTTCTAAGTGTTGTAAAGCAACCAAGAGCTTTGACCATTATATGGTATAAAAAGCAAAATTAATAAGACAATAATAGACACTTATTTATTTTAGAATTTATAAAGCACGTCAATAGTCCTAAAAAGGACTTTCTGGGCTGTGAACAATTAAACCCAAAAAATACAAAAATACAAAATTGCACAATTTAAACAGCCACATAAAACAGTTAAATATTAACAGGTATAGTAAACTAAAACCTTAAATAAATTCATATAAAATTTAAAACCACTTAGTTACTAAAATGCCTGAAAAACAAGACTGCCTTTGCCTGGTACTGGAATGACTGCAGTAGGAGTGCCAGGTGTACTGCTCTGAGGAGCCTACTCCACAGGTGGGGCACAACCTCCCCCAGGCTATGCATCCTGTCCTTTAGGGAGAGTGCAACCCTGTCCGGGACAGGTGGAAGGCCCCACGACTGATCAGAAATCCCACCTACCAACAGCATCTTATCTGGATTAAGCTTCAATGGATTGGCCTTCATCCAGTTCATTACCACACCCCAGTTCAGAATGGAAACCGAGGGCCTCACCTGGGTTTGATGAAAATGAGAGGTAGAACTGAATGTCATCAGTGTGCTGGTGACTTCTCAGACCAAAGGACCTCTCCCAAAGGTTTCATGTAGATGTGGAAAAGTACAAGGGATGGTATAGAGCCCTATTGGTACCCTGTGTATCAATGCCATGACGTAGAGCAACTATCCTCCAGCACCACCTTCTGGACACAGTCAGCCAGGTGGGAGTGGAACCACTGCAGAAAACTGCAGTGAGGACCAGGGGAATCAACGGGATTGCACTCCCACTGCTTCTCTCCCAGCAAAGGTCATCCCACAGGGCGACCAAGGCAGGTTCCATCCCAAACCGCAGCCTGAAATCCAGTTGAAATGGATCTAGATAATCTCTTCCATCCAAGAGTGCCTGAAGCTGCTTGGCCATCACACACTCAACTTCTTTGCTCAACTACCTTGCCCAGCAGAGACCTTACCAGTCTATGTTCGGTAACATCCCTTGGGCCCAGGTTTTTGGCAGTGGTTTGAT